GCTCAAATCTGTCAATGGCACAACTGGCCCAGTTGTGGTTTGGTTTATGTGGCCCAAATCTGTCAGTGGCACAACTGGCCCAGTTGTGGTTTGGTTTATGTGGCTCAAATCTGTCGATGCCACAAATGGCCCAGTTGTGGTTTTGTTTAAGTGGCCCAAATCTGTCAGTGGCACAACTGGCCCAGTTGTGGTTTGGTTTATGTGGCTCAAATCTGTCGATGCCACAAATGGCCCAGTTGTGGTTTTGTTTAAGTGGCCCAAATCTGTCAGTGGCACAACTGGCCCAGTTGTGGTTTGGTTTATGTGGCCCAAATCTGTCAATGCCACAACTGGGCCAGTTGTGGGTTGGTTTATGTGGCTCAAATCTGTCAATACCACAAGTGGCCCAGCTGTGGTTTGGTTTATGTGGCTCAAATCTGTCAATACCACAACTGGCCCAGTTGTGGTTTGGTTTATGTGGCCCAAATCTGTCAATGGCACAACTGGCCCAGTTGTGGTTTGGTTTAAATGGCTCAAATCTGTCAATGGCACAACTGGCCCAGTTGTGGTTCTGTTCATGTAGCCCAAATCTGTCAATACCACAATTGGTCCAGTTGTGGCATTGGGCTATGGATGGACCACCCCTGGCTGTCATTCTTTGTGGTATCTGGGCTGAGCGTTGAAGTGTTACTGCTCAGGTATGGACACGTGGGCCAGAACTGGGTCAGACAAATTTTGCTCTGGGGGTATCCACAGCCAGGCTTTACTAGATTTATTTACATCTCTGGCCTGTTGACAAACATCTTATACCAACAAAGCTTCTTGGGTTCTTCTAGTTTAACCACAATCTTCTTCATTGGAAACTTGGTGGGAGTAAATGGTAAATCAATAAAACTATGTTCACTACAGGTACAGACACATCTCCAGTTTTTTTTTGCCCAAAAGGGAGCCATGCTGGTTATTTTTTAACGACAAATCAATTATTTTTATTTGACCCTGGACCTTTTAATATGTAGTACTAAATCTGATACAAATCTGATGTTCTTCAAAGTGACCTCAGTCTGAACACTCATGTCGCATTTCTTATGACTTTTATGTCATTAAGGCAGGGCTGTACAGATCAGTCCAAACAATAATACGTTATTATTGATGGTGCAGTTTAAAGCTTGGAACTGCGCTCATTTTCATCTACAGAACAGAAGTTCAGTTGCTTCACCCTTCTTAAAACAGAGAATTT